GTTGGGATTTCTCTTATCTTTATCCTCCAGTTTGGCTTTATCCTCTTTTTCATCCTTTCAGGCTGGAGATGTTTGCTGGCAAGGAGATCCTTTTGGCTACTTATGGCCCATTTGGCCTTAGTTTCCAGGCCTTCTAACTTGGTGCTCAAACCCATGCATATTCCATGGCTCCACCTCTTAAGAAAGTAATTTGGGATGTTTCTCAATGGTTTTAGGTTCTTCGCCAATTTATGTATTTGGGCTTTCTTGGCTTTCCTCCATTTGTTTAGCTTTAGTGGGGCCAGTCTTGTAGGCATTTATCATCAACATCATGTCTTCCTTTCTTAAGTTGTATCAGGCTTTCTTTCACCACCACCACCACCACCACTACTACTACTACAACTACTAATGCCAGTAGTAGTAAAGAAGGCCTACTCCTTCTGAGCCTGTTTGGTCTATGGATTGGAATCTTATTTGTCCCCTTTGGTCTGGTTTCTATTTTTCAAGGGATCTTTTTCTTGGCCCACGGCTGTCAGATATTTTGTTCCTTCTCGGTGTCTGACAAAGAAATATCTCACAAGCAACATGTAATTTAGGAAGGGCATGACCTGGAGAATTATTTATTTAAATATGAGTCTTGTGAAGAAATATGTTTGTAAATACTGTACTGGAAATAGGTTACCTGGGATGCTTTGTATTTACAGTACAGTAATGACTAATATTAATCTATTGCAGCTTTATGCGATAAAATTAGGGATAAATATGTAAAATTAAACTATAAGAGGGAATATAGAAAAAGTATACTGTACTGTATATATAGACCAAGAATTCAGTATGTAGAATAATCTCATGAAAAACATCTACATGAGGGAGATGAGAATACTTGCCAGTGAATAGGAGCACTCCTACCCTAACTTGAATTCTTTTCACAATGGCAACACTTCATAGGAAGAATAAACAAGTTTATGTATGTACTGTATACAGTACTGACTTTATTATACATATTGTATATGCAACCATCTCTCATGAGGGTAACATTTTGGTCTTAAAAAATTGTGAATCTGCTTATTCAGATAAAACCCTTAATATACAGGATCCTATATAAAGTGGGAAAGGACATTGTCAAAAGAGTGTGAAGTGTTTCAAGGCTAGCAAGAGGCAATGTAGATGACTGGAGTGGTTAACTTCAGGTCATCAGCTAGGCATGGGAATATACTACACCCAACATGACATATGGTTTAACAATAAATACTAGTAAAGATGGAGTATGCTTGAAAGAAGAATTATGAGAATAGGTTTGAATCTCGCTCACAAATGGTAGTCACCTTGAATGAAGAATGAATTGGACCGAGAATCTGATTCCAAGGTATAAATTACAGTTGTACCAATACTGTACTCTACGATGACTTATGCTTAAAAAAATAATGAATAAGGGCAATAAATCATTCAGCCATCCTTACAAAATGAATATGTAAGCAGTGTGGAAGCATTGATTCACTCAGTATTAAATGGTGGTAAAATTTGTTAAAATAACTGTTGAATAGCTCCAAGGTTCACTAACCCATAATTCAAACAATTTTAATTACGTGGCACCGCTTAACACTCCTCATATGGATCAAATATGATAATTTTTAAATTTTCTTAAATTTCATCTTAATCTCCCTACTGAAATATTTCAAAATAGTTTTGAGTACAGTAATATTAAGAATATCATATTGATAATGAAGCTGTGTGGATCCGTACATGTCTTTTCAAATGACTGGCATGAACAAAGCATGATGAGCAATGAGGGCATGTGTAGGGCCTCTCTCCCGTGTGGGATCGAATATGAATTTTAAGATTACTTTTAAGTGCTGCTCGAAATGGACAAAATGGGCATGAATATGGCTTTTCTCCAGTATGAGAACGAATGTGAAGCTTAAGGTTTCCACTTAGTGCAGATCGAAAGGGACAATGAGGACATGCATATGGCTTTTCTCCAGTATGTGTTCGAACATGGCAACGTATAGCAGTTAGATGCTGGGTGGAGTAGGAACAGTATGGACACTGATGGATCTTGCTTCCTGGGTTGATGTTTATGTCAGCTCGAGTGGCAGCACCTACAGCTGCTGTTGCTCCTACAGCTTGTGTGTGTTTTCTTGTTATATTCATTTCCTCTGCATCAATGCTTTGACCATCACACTTCACACCCACCTGTGGGAGACACCTGTCTTATTCATGGCCACTCAAAATTAACTGAAGTAATTCAACATAATAGTCTTTTATTTTAAGGTTGCAAGATATTATTTACTCTAAAACAATTAATGATAAAAATCCCTAAGTGAAAAACATTTTAAACCAGCATACGAAGACTTAATGTCATAATATTAAAGAACGTAAAAGAAGTGGTGAAGACTTGTGGACTACCATGAATGAACAAATATATATTTAAATAAAAATAAGGGAGTTGCTTAAAGAAATGAGGAGTTAGAAAGTAAAGCACAAATAGATAAGCAAACAATTAAGATTTAAGTCATAATGCTAACAAGTACAAGTTTAGGATTCTTATGAATATTGCATTAGTAACAATTTCTTTACCTAAAAATCAAAATGTGTTGTGGACACTAGTAATTATGAACATGTTAAGGTTGGTCATCTTCTTATGTTGATGAAGATAACCAACCTTTGAAGATATATTTATTTTCCTCTCCTAAGCCAATGTAATTAGTTATTTGTAAATTTGCAGTTAGTCATTTTAAGTCATTCCCTGTTTTTATCCTAATACTGTATCTGTATGATTATAATACAGTACATGCAATGTATATAGATGTAATGAAGTTAACAAAGACCCATTAAAAAAGTTTGCTATTGTTTTGTAATTGCTTACTACATGATAAGGTGATCATATACTAGTGGCCAGCGTTTATCAAATTACAATTTGTTGTTTCCTGCTGGTATATGATTCTATTTTTCATGACATTAACAGCCATAGTGTAATAGCAAAGGAGTGGGATGTAAGATACTTTTGAGCAGTGTCAAAACCAGGTTAACAAGCAATATAGGTGTACATACTGTATTACATTCTGGTTTATATACATTTCTCAAATGCTGTTTTTGTCAAGTATGTGAACATAAATATTCAAAATGTGGAAACTAAAGTGAAGCAATGAACATAAAAACCATCCATCTTGAACATGAAAATCCTCACTCCTTCACCATAAGTTAGCAATTTGCATATCTTAGCAATAGTCAACATAGCCAATGTTTCCCCTACCCAGATTTCTACTGCAGTATATAAAACCAGAAAAGATATTTCCTTTTATTTTTCCATATTTTGCATGCAAATGGATCATACAAGAACAGATTTGATTAAAAATTTTTGCACAGGCAAGGTTTAAATTTTAATGTCAGTCACATCATTAAAAGGTGTTGACTGAAGATGTCAGTCTTAACCATCAAAGAGGGTTAAGACTGACATCGTCAGTCTTAACCCTCTTTGAGGGTTAAGACTGTGGAGTTAAGAAGTTAAGACAAATTAGACCTTTAGACAATAAACTTGTGAAAAATTATTCTTATTCATGATTTAGTGACAGGAATCAGATAACAGGACCCCTTAACCACTTGACCATCACAACCAGACAAAAGATGATGGTAGCCGAGGCTAATTCCCCATCATCCTTGGTCCTGTACGCCAGTTGCAGAGTGCTGGCAGTATGAGTTCGAGTCACTTCTGGGGTGTGAGTTTTCAGAAGCATATATGCCTGGGGACCATTCAGGCTTGTTCACATTTGTGTTCCTCATGTGTGCCCCAAAGAATGAAGTGATTTGATAAAATACCATGCCCAAGATTACCATCAGAGTGCTGGGGGGATGATGGGGAATTCGCCTCGGCTACCATCATCTTTTGTCTGGTCATGATGGTCGAGTGGTTAAGGGGTCCTGTACACCAGTTGCAGAGTGCTCCTGGCAGTATGGGTTCGAGTCACTTCTTGGGTGAGAGTTTTCAGAAGCATATATGCCTGGGGACCATTCAGGCTTGTTTGCATAAATATATAAAATATATATAATACTGTACTCAGTTATGGTATACCCAAGTGTGTTTGTATTTTAAGATATTTGATACATAAGGGCAAGGCAACCAGTTATTAGAGAGAGCAACGTAATGTTGAGTACATTAAGAATTTAGTGGCGATTTATTTTTTAATTACTAGTTTACTTAATTTTGTATTTTTTTAATTACCAGTATCCAATGTGATTCAATTCATCATCAGTGTATTAAGTGTAAAGAAGCCCATGTGGTGCTAGAAGAAATTATTAGCTTGTAGTTATGAAGAATCTACGCAGTGTTGCCAATCATCATTTCAAATTTCTAAGCATTGCCATAACATTAGTAATTGTCATTAGAATTTTATTGGCCACAAGCATATGTAAATATCGCTTTAGTAAACCTCTGTTCCTTTATTATTGTTTGGTATTAAGACCTCAACTTCACTTTTTGTAAACTGATTACATGGGCTTATGACCATGTATGAGTACCATCAAAGCTTGAGCTGGGACCAAGTACCAATATGTTGAAGTTTACCTGGCAGTGGAAGTGTGAGCTAGCCAGGTTGGCAACTTTTGGGAGAGGGTTACTTTTGTTGGGGCTAGGTCGAAGGTACAAAGTCCTGTATATTGACGGTCGGGAAGAGACCGTGGCCCAGGGGATCATTGGCCTTCTCCCACTCTGCACAGGGGGTACAAGGTCTGGGTGTGTGTGAACTCCACTCCATGTGCGACTGGGACATCCCTTGGTGGTTGTGGCACCATAGGAGGGGAGAATGCCATGCCACAAATAACAGCAAAAACTTCATTTTATTGTTCCAAGCATATAATATTGTGTGCATATTAGTAACATGAATATATTTGAGCATTCCAATATTCCACATATTTTATTACAGTACTGTATATAAATTTCTCGTGATACCCTATTGAATAATAGTACTGAAAAACTAGAAAAAACAAATCAGAAACATTGAAATAATCTCAAAATATCTTTGCAGCAACTCCCACCCCACAGCGAGGCTGGATCGACTACCCTGGGGTGAATGCTGCTTCAACGCTTGTGAATTGCTAGACTTCCAAGCTACACCACGGCCAAAGTAGGTCACATACATTTTTGTTTTGTTTTTCCTGTCATCAGGTAATCAAATTCAAATGACAGTATTTTACTATTTTATCAATGTTATATAACAAAAAATGCACAGAAAACAGTCAAAAGTTTAAGTTATTGCTTCTCATCCATGTTCATGAAATTCTAATGCTAAATTTAAATACCAGTATTGATACATAAAACAAAAATAAATTCAAATATGACAAATTAATAAACTGATATTATCATCACACATTAACAATTTAAAACATATTAAATTGCCAGAACATGTGTGGATATGTGTCTAAGCCACAGTCATTCTATACCTTTGAACACCCGAGTTGCATGGCTTGGTGGCAACCTATGCTCTTATTAAATATCTCATTTCTACACTATATTTGCCTTTTTTTTATTAAAAAGATGTCTTACAGTTGTAATCATAGTGCTAGAGGTGGTACAAGAAATATTTCAGAGGTGGAATTTGTTAGTAATAAGACTGCTAAATGTGAACCTGACTGGATGTGATGATGATGGAAGAGTGCAAGATAGTATACCAACTGATGTACAGTACCTACGGAAGACATTATACTTAGTTAATGTTAGAAAGTTAGTCAGTTAATGTCACACGTCAGCTAGAAAGCTAAAATGTATGAAAGCTGCAATTACTCGTGGAATATATTCAGAAATAGTTAAATGCAGTGGAGAAATGGGAATGGAGTGGTTGCGAAGAATTTACCACGTGAAGTAAAGTGCTAACTGTGCCAGAGTACCCAAAAAAAGCTTTTAATAAACCTCAGAAAAATTAAGGAAATGTAGTGAATATATGAATTATAGAATCATTAGTTTACTATGGCAGTGATTGGAAGAGTACAGAAAATTTAGAAATTTATCAGTGATGACCGAGGTAGGTTGTGGTAGAAGTGGGTGTGTATCAGATATTTGCACCGAGTCTGTGCATGACTATTATAGATTGCAAAAAGCACATTCCAACTTTCTTTATTAACTATGTAGAGTAATGAGCATTAAAGAAGTTGGCACAATTCTATTAAATAATGTAAAATTGTTTCTGTACAAATAGCAGTGCATGTGTACAAGTTAATGGTGTACTGATTGACTGGTTTTATATTATTATGTGCAGATAATATAGGTATTTTACCAGTGATATAAGTTTATGTAGACTAATTTAAAATCTAACTGATGTTTGTGTGAGAAATCTATTAACAGTGAATATGGACAAAAGTAATGATGGTAAAGTAGGGTCAGACAGGGGGAGGTGCAATGAAGTCATGATTACAAAAATAAATAAAATAAAAATGTTAAGATTAGATGCAGTCAGAGGGCTGCATGAAGGAGTGGTGTATCAACCCTTATGATCTGATGCAAGATGGATTGGCATGAATGTGAAAAATCAAGCACTGGAGCAATAGACATACAATAGAAAGAATTGAAAATGTTATGAAGAGATCTGGAGTACAAAATTCAATAAACCATAAAGATTAAGGTACTGATAAACATATTGGTGATTTGGGCATGCTGAACATATGGTGAATACACTCTTTTACACTGGTCTAGACTAAAGTAAATTAGAGTAAGGCTAGGAAAAGATGGGCAGACATGGCAAGTGTTAAATTGCTTTTTAAGTATAGTACTGTATGAAAAATACACAGGATATAGTCAAAGTCAATGCTTGGTGGAAATGGTTTGAAAGGAAGGGATGAATGCATTTGTGGTACAGTACTGTATAGATAAATTCACTAAGAGCACAAAACACCTAGTTTCATAAAGTGGTAAAATGATGCTGTGGATGATTTATGGAGTGAGTACGAAAGTGATCTTGGAAGCGATCTTTCCGTGAAAAGCGCATAGGGCAGTGTGGACAAGCATATGGTTTCTCTCCAGTGTGAATATAAAGATGATTTTTTAAATTACTCTTCCGGGCAGAACGAAAAGGACAGTATGGGCAAGTGAAAGGTTTTTCTCCAGTGTGAACACGGATGTGCCTTCTTAAGAGAAATGGTCGATGGAAAATATTTTCACAGAATGGGCACTGATGAACGTTGCCTGTTGCAGTGTAGATCTTCTGAGCTTCCATAGATCCCACACTCTCAGCATCACCAGGTACCCCCACCTGTAGAGGACGCCACTATTCTTATAGTACTCAAAATAACAGATGGTAACATTTAATTTACTATTATCATATGAAGTCATCTAACATATATGAAATTAAACCAAACAATGCTCATAGTGAAGCTCTTACTGTGAGACTTTTTATAAAATTCCATTTGAAAAGCTACACCTATTTACTTGTATATTGAGGTCATTACAGTTTGTCATGTGTAGTCATTTTGAAACTTTGTAGGAATAAAACCAGCGTTGAATGTAATGAAACGCCATTTTCTGGGTGAGACCCGGAGGCTCCCCGGAGCTTTACCGGCTGATATGCTAATGTCAGACTTTGGCATCAGTCATGTGTATGGAGTTCTAGGGCCTACCGGGGACCACGAGCCAGAACCTGGCCCCCTCAGAGAGGCAAGGGGAGCAATGGCCTATAGAAACCCCCGTGTGGTTGGAAGCATTCTATGTCTGCCATCGACCGGGTCAAGCATCCAGAAAGGTAAGCATTCCAAAACAAACCCCTATTCTGGTGAAAATTGCTACCTAAGCCGAACTAGTGAATAGAACTCTTCAACAGAAAACACGGAAACTAGTATGACGTCATACGTCACCGCGCCGCTGTCTGCGCAGCTCCCCCCTCCCCGGGAGGGGGAAGGGGGAGCCCCAGACCTCCCACGCCGGCTATCCACCCATCAGTTCTGAGGCTGGATGTCAAAACACGCGAAAAACGCCGACCGGAGGGAGGGAGGGTTGCCGGGGAGCCTCCGGGTCTCACCCAGAAAATGGCGTTTCATTACATTCAACGCTGGTTTTCTGGGGGGAGCCCCGTCGGCTCCCCGGAGCTAACTACCCACAGAGGAAGGTCAAAGGGACAAAACCGGGAGGCGGACACCACGCACCCCCAAGGAGGCGAGACAACCGGCAGCAAACGCCAACCCAAGGCGCCACAGCCCCGAAAATCCCGGGAACAACACGAGAACCACGAGCAGCAAGGCCCCTGCACGAACACCAAAAATCCATGCCCGAAAGACTGCAAGGCCACGTCGCCCAGACGGCAGCGAGAGCAGCGAAGCCACGAACGCCACAGGCATAAGGGAAGAACACAGGCAGCTTAGCCACAAGAACACGGCTGACCACCTGGGACACCATCACCCGCGAACCGGGAAGAACAGAACCGGATCAACGCAAAACGCGCTCCGGACCCAAACGCCGTGGCACGCAAACAACAGCAGAGGGCCGCCACTGAACACAAAAACGACACACCCCCGGCCCGACTAACAAAGCACCAACAAACCCTGGACCCCTCCAGAATGCAGCAGCCCCACCCCGCGCCAGAAAAGATGGAGACTGCTGCCATCAAACAACCAAAACGCTAAAACCGAAGGAGCAAGAAAACACAGCGAACCGACCCCCAGAGGCAAAGGCCCAAAGGAAAGAGCCGACGAAAAAACACACCGGAACCGAAGGGGCACTACCAACCGAGGAGAAGACAGAGCACGCTGACCAGAGACCAGGATGGTGCAAGCGGCGCACGAACAGGCCGGAGGTGAAATGACGCACAAGACAGCTGACTAACGGTGCAGAAGCAACACCAAGACCGAAAGCAAGCTGAAGCGGCTCCGCCTGCGCCGCACGAAAAGAGGCGACAGTATGTGGCAAGACGACGGCCCCCAACCCCCACTAGAAAACCAAGCCGAGAGTAAACCAAGCCAACAAGAAGGACCCACCGAAGAAGGGACAGGAAAAGGAAGGACCGCCAAAATACCCCATACTGCCGCCAAGAAGCACGCAGGTGGGACACCTACCACGAAGCCACCCGACCACCAACCGGAGGCGAGACCACGAGGCAGAACATAAGCAGCCCCGACAAGGCCCCCCGAGCCCAGGAAAAAGGCGGAGCCGCGAGAAGATCTCGGGCGCGACCACCGAAACCCAGGCGGCACAAGGAGATGGAACGTCTGCCGAACAGAAAAACTCCGAAGCATGCAAGCCCGCCAGGAGTTCAGAAACGACGGGTCCGACGCGAGACATCGCAAGAACCCCCCCAAAAAAAATAAAACAACAACAACAACCGGCAGGGCAAGCTAGGAAAACCAAAGAAGGCGGAAGGGTCGCCGCCAGAACAGGACCCGAACCAAGGGGCCCGAACAACTGCAACAGACCGAAACAAAGAAGCACATCACAGGACACAGGCTGACCAACGCCTAAGAACACACGCAGAACATTCCTGCTGCAGAAGAGGCAGGAAGAAAGAGCAGAAGCACAAAAAAAAAAAAAAACAGGAGAACAACCAGGGGTGGACAATCAGGCAGGGACAAAAACCCCACGCAATCCCCAGGCACAAAACGGCAGCAAAGCGCCACTCCACAACCGGACACAGGAACAAGGACACGCCACCGTGAAACACGGTACCAATGCTCACGTGCAGCAGCAGCAGCAACAGGCACCACTGCAACATGCAACATGTAAATAGCAACTCCCCTCTGCAAAGGCAGAGAACGGAGCAGGCAGACCCCAGACAGGGCCAACGGAGACACGACAAAACCCTGCAGGCCCAGAAACCTGCACCAGGCGACCGACGGCGGAGAAACCCCGCTCGATACCTGCTGGATGAGGTACTGGGAGCTCTTTTACACCTCAAGCCCCCACCAAGGCTTAAGTGCAACGCCCCTGCTGCCCGCACCCGCTTTGTTAGCACAACTGGGTAACCGAGCCACAACGAGCAACCAAACTCGCAGGACACCGGGTCGAAGGTGTCACCGACCCCACAGGCAGCAGACGGAGGCAAAACAGAGAGTCACCCAGAGACAAAAGGTGAGAGCAACCCTCAAACTCGCTGGAAGCGAGGGGGGGGCTCTGGGGTCACATCCATCGGACCCGCGCGCCCCCAGGGGTTTCCCAGGGTCCCGAGCGTTTACTTTAAGAGGACTCGCGCTCAGGTAATCCCAGGCAGGGTACTGCTAACCGGCACCCAAGCTACCAAACAACTTTCTAAGAGCTGAACCCCCGGGACGTGTACACTCACGGGGACCTAGCAGGGGGTACCACCAGAAATACTCAGAACACAAGGGACACAAGGGGCAAGAACGAAGGCAGACCCCCCCACCAGGTATATAAACAAAAGAAAAAGAAAACCCCGCAAGAGGACAGCGTACCCAAGCGGAACAGAGCCGGCCGCTATGATTGGTAAAGACAAGCTGCACAGTACCCCGCGCCCCACCAGTGCAAACACTGCCCCTTACTCTAAGGCGAACAAGGGAGACAGAACACCCGAGCACACAAAGAGCGGCCGAAAACCAAGCGGTAAACGGCCAAGCAGGGGCAGGACCCAAGGAACTTGTGGAAGGTGGCCCCAAGCCCCAAGGGCAGTACTTACAGGGCACCTAGGGAAGGGAACCCTAGGCGCATGCAGCCCGAGTACTGAAGAATCACACCCGGCTCACGCACCACCTAGAAAACAGACACCACACTCTAGGTACAGTGCTGAAACAACCACTGGAGCCGGAGCACATAACCATTGCCTATAGCATCAGCCGAAGAACTGATGGGTGGATAGCCGGCGTGGGAGGTCTGGGGCTCCCCCTTCCCCCTCCCGGGGAGGGGGGAGCTGCGCAGACAGCGGCGCGGTGACGTATGACGTCATACTAGTTTCCGTGTTTTCTGTTGAAGAGTTCTATTCACTAGTTCGGCTTAGGTAGCAATTTTCACCAGAATAGGGGTTTGTTTTGGAATGCTTACCTTTCTGGATGCTTGACCCGGTCGATGGCAGACATAGAATGCTTCCAACCACACGGGGGTTTCTATAGGCCATTGCTCCCCTTGCCTCTCTGAGGGGGCCAGGTTCTGGCTCGTGGTCCCCGGTAGGCCCTAGAACTCCATACACATGACTGATGCCAAAGTCTGACATTAGCATATCAGCCGGTAAAGCTCCGGGGAGCCGACGGGGCTCCCCCCAGAAAATGTCATAATTTATATCTGAGAAAAGAACAAAACTTATTGTAAAATAAAAAAAAAAAAAAAATTATTTGACATTGTTTTTATCACTGCAATACTGTAAGGGGCATGTGTGATTTCAAAATGACTTGAGTTGGGCCAGTGTTTATCAACAAACCAAAAAAATGCTTCTCTAAAAACACAAGTTAATCACAAGGCTTAATGCTGATAGACTCCAGACTTGTAGACTGTCTCATAGACTTCAGGAATTAAGGAAAATGTGTGTAATTACCTAAGGATAGTTACAGTGTGAGAGCTACGCTCGTGGTGTCCCGTCTTTCCAGTACTCTGTCATATGACAGCTTGAAACTCCTGTTTTGGTATCCACCACCACCTCGTTTGTTCCAACTATCCATCACTGTCTATCATACATAGTTTTATCAAGGTCCATTAATTTGCCTGGACCTAACAAACTTAATAATTAATTCATTCTTAATATTTAATTAATATTAATGTACTTTCTGTTGTAAGAATGAAACATAGTATCCATATTTAGAGATCTTACCCATCAAAACTACTATGTATCAAATTAAATTGTTGATAGTTTTTCTATATCTTCACCCCCCCACCCCACCCAAAAAAAAAAGTTATCAGTCATGCCAGTATTAGCTGGCCTAAGTCGGAACAATTTTCCACCCATGAGAAATTTTAATCATTTGGAATATGGTGTGGAAAAACTCACAATTTTGTAGATGTCTCAACAAAACTGTCAGAAAAATTATTCTCTATAACATCACAGTTTAAAGGAAATTGTGATTGCATATGACCTTTGACAAATGGTGGATAATAACACATTTCCAATAGTGTAATTATTGCTTTATTACCTAGTAAAAGGTACATAAATCAATGTATTGATAATTAAATACTCAACAAAGTGCAAAAAGTTACCATACAATTCTTGTTTTTATGCATCCGTGTTATAGTTGTGTTAGTCTAGTATCACGGTTAACCATACCCTTTCACTGTGCAACTTCAAGTTATTGACCATTTGGCTAAAACTACTCATGTCTAGTCTATGTATTGTGAACCTCATTGTGGGAGAGTTAAGGTGCTCATTTTAGTCATCACTTCGAGGTGATCGAATCCTTTCCTTGGCCTGTCATAAGTATACTATTTTTAAGTAAAGAATAAATTTAATACTTTAACTTAGTACATTATTTTCCTCAACATTCATACATGCCACTTTATAGCAATGCCTTCCTGGAAGGTTGTTATATTACTGCATGATACAGTTCACATAGGACAT